GGAGGGGGGGGCATTTGCACGCTTGCTACTTCCCTTTCTGGCTCCATGTTAGCTGACAGGTCTCATTTTGGTGAAACCTGTAAACCCATGTGAAGATGCGAAATGGTACAAGTGAGCCACTTCAATCACAGGAATGTACAAGTCTTCACAAGGTGGCTTGCATGAACTTCGCTGAAAACTAGCCGGTGTCCCCTCTAAGCCGAACTGCGTCGTGCACCGAGCTAACCTACCTCTGGAGCGAGATAATTCGGCGTACCGCTAACACTCATTGGATTCAAATCTTGCATAAGAATAGCCAGACCAAAGTCTGCTAGCTTCACTTGACCATCCGTGCCTGAAATGGAGACGTTGCTGACTATAGATGAGAATCGCTAGGTAAAGCTGCATTGCTATTCAGCGTTTTTGCAGTTGGATATCTGTTCTACATCGTTCAACAGCGAACTAAGAATGTTCTCGAAGAAGATACGCCGACTAGAAAGAGACTTCGAGCAATGTTTACACTTCGCGGCGCTATGTGCCGCTGGCGAGGCCAGTCTGTAATTTCGCGTTAGAGCATAGTAGCCCGTACAGTACCTTGCGATGTTATCAAAGAAGGGAGCCTTGGAGTGAATGAGCAACTTCGCGCAATTCAATTTATCAGAAATGATGAGTTTCCTCACCTCGGAGATCCATCCCCCTAAAGCCTGCAGGCTATTGCAGCGCTGACGCGAAATCGCACAATGACCCCTCCCGAGGGAGATAGCACTTACTTCACTTACACTGCACTTACTCGAGCAATCCAACCGCACTAATCTCGCAATTATCAAGGCGCGACTATGACTAAAAGCGCTCCACAGCTATTCACCGGACCGTTCCAACTGATATTCGAGCAAATCGTATTAGGTGCCTCAACCAGCAATATTCCAGCGGTAATCACGTTCACAACCATAAAATCGCCCACAAAAAGTGTGTCGCCACGGAAATGTCCGCATCTGATGACGTACTTTCATAAACGGTGTAGTAATCTCATGAAATTGCAATCTCTTTTTCTCCACTGCTTTATTCTTTTTTTTGTTTGAGGTCTTTCAATTAGAAGTGTAGCGGTTCTTGAGATGGAGAGCTGGAGTGCGGCAGCTTGTAGCGACTTCACTGGATGGTGAGGGCTGGGGGCGTGGCAAATGCTTCTCAGCAGCCTTCCATCAAGTGACTGAGCAACCGCCCGCCTCCTGCGATCGTGCCCAGTGCCTTAAACGACGGCTGGACGCAATCGCAAGGCGCGATCTCATAGTGATTAGAGCTGGAAGGCTGCAAATACCACCTCTACATCGTCAGCGAGAGCATGAAAACCCATTCGAATCATGGAATCCCGCGATTTTTTTTTGAGTGATGAAAAGTTCAGGAGATCAGGACGAATTATCCGACGGAGAAGAGCGTGGCATTGGCGTTGAGGTGGCATCTGTAGTCTATGCGCTTCAGTTGCCAAAAGCCGTGTCAGCTGTCCAGCCACTTACAAATCTGGAAAAAGGGAGGGCGTGGCCGTGCACTTCACCTGAATGTCGCGCCGGCTACGCTTATGGTGGAATACTCCTTTTTAGGACAATGAGGTGATCTGCCTGTCCAGCACAAACACGATGACACTTGTATCAAATGGGAATATCCCACGAAAAACCCGTCACACGCCAATGACGCTATTTGAATACGCAACCACGCCTTCCCCATCTCCGAGATATGGGGTATAGCAATACAAGTAAACAGTTGGCCGCACATTCGCCGTATATAAATACAACATACAGGAGAACAAGACGTACCTATAAGTATATTTCCAGGTTTCAAATCCCTGTGAAGAATATTCCTATCGAGAAGATACCTGACAGCTGACAAAATGCCAACCATGTAACCTCTGCTTTCATATTCTGATAAATAGCCGCCTGCAAAGCATGAATAAAGCTTAAGTGAATTTCAACCAAAAGAATAATCCCATGCCTTCCCCCTGCCATTAAAATTCACACCAGATAGCTGCACTCTTATTGCCCTTGGAACGAAACGGGACCAGGTGAGCACTGACGCTGGCACGTCAAAGCACCATTTACTGCGTAAATGTGCCAGTGTCGGTTAGTGACATCAAAAAAGCTTCCCAAGTACATACTAACCATATTTCAAAAACCCACAACTACTCTTTATGCTCAGCCGTTAAAGCAGTAAAACGGCTGCTGCTGCATGTATTGCAAAAATTCAACAGCCCGTGAAAGCAATCAAAAACTTTCATCGTTGCCAACTGACAATTCCACGGGGTACCAGTAATCTTATAGAGGAGGAACAAGTGTTTATAAGACAACAATCACATTGGACGATAATCGTGTCCAACACAATTATCAAATCAAAAACCGGTTTCAGGCACCCTTGTTCCGAAAAAGAACTACAGACAGAAACCAGCTGTAAGCGATAATCCACTGTACGCACTCAAGTGTGAAAATTCAGCGCTGTTCAGCAGGCAGGAGGGGGGGAAGGTGGCATTTCACGCTTCCGCTACTTTCCATTGTTGAACCATTCAGAAGAGCTTTGTGAAATCTTGTGAAGCCATAAAAAACCATTAAAGTTTGTGAAGACTACATGTCAACTCTCGGAAAACACTGAACACGACGATGGGAAGTAGCGAAAGTGCAAAATGCCCCCCCCCTCCCAAGCCGAACTGCGCCGAAATGTCGTACTGCTATCAAAGCAATCTTCATAGAACTTCACAGAAGTTATTAAACAGGTAACTAGTAATAAATTTATATGAAACGTCTCACATTGAACACGAGAAGATAAAAGGATAGGCTTATGCTGAAAGCAGGCGTACTTATTGAGACAAAGGAAAAAGGGCACTTCTACCCCTTAAGCGCTCTACCCCTCTCAAAAAATTAAGCCAGGCAAGGCACATTGCCGCTGCGTAAACACAATGTGGGGTGGGGGTGCCAAAATTTTCGGTCTTTTCAACTTTTTTTTCGTTTCAGGCATTGTATAACCACCGCGCTCCACCCCCACATCGTTTCCCCCTTCTTGTCATTATCAGTGGTCATTTGCTGTCAGCGGCGCTTTTTGACAGCTGCTGGGAGAAGTCTATCCCCCTCACTCTACCTGACGTCAAAATTTTGAGAAAAACTGGAAAGAAGGAAGGGGTAGAAGGGGAGTCACAGGGGAAGAAATCTGT